TTGGTATTTTAATTAAATCTAGTTTTCTTTCAAAAAAAAATATATACAGAGTAATATTGAGTGAAAGACGTGTACTGATCCATTGTGAATATTAAATTTACCATGCACATAATTTCTGATTTTCTGAAATTGACAAAAAGACTAGAACTACTAGTATCTAACTATCTATTATGAAATTATGAATAGTGTGCGTGATTGCTTCTATTTTAAGTGCAATTTAAAGTAATTGTCCAAGTGATAACATCTTTTGATATTCAAGTGTTTAACGTAAATAGAAGTCAGTTACTTGAAAGCATTAATTTCAACTTTTTTAACCAAAAGAAGCATTCTTTAAGTTTCTACAAACCATCCTTAAATTTGTAAATGATTATGCAGTTATCTATACATGGGTGACCCGAAAGGTACAAACTGGACTCCAGCAGAATGTGACATTTCAATCCGACCCGGTTGGTTTTGGCACCACAACGAAAAACCGAAACCTCTAGGTGTTCTACTTGAAATTTATTACAACTCGATTGGGAGAAATTGTGTGTTACTATTAAACGTGCCGCCAAACACGGACGGATTGATATCAGATTCTGACGTGTCACGCCTGAAAGAGTTCAAAAGCGCGATCGACACCATATTTTCAGTCAACTTGGCCCGAAACTGCTCAGTCCAAGCAAGCAGCGCGAGGGGAGGCCCGGACGGAGAAGACAAGTTCGGGCCTATGAATACATTGGACGGGGATGATTTGTGGACTTATTGGGCCCCGAGTGATGAGGACAATGGGCCTTATTGGGTTGGGCTGAATGCAACCAACAAAGACCCGATTGAGTTCAACGTTGTGAGAATTCAAGAAGCTATAGGACTTGGTCAGAGAATAGAAGGGCATGAAATCTACGTGGATGGGGTTAAGGTTGGTAATGGGACCACGGTGGGGTACAAGAAGCTGCACAGGTTGGAGAATGGAGCTGTTAAAGGAAATGTTGTGATGATCAAAATAACTGAATCAAAAGCACCGCCATTGCTTTCATCTATTGGTCTTCATTTTGATCCCTTTTGGCACCCTAACACTAATTCATTTCACTAAAATGGTGATTTAAACATGTTCTACAAATAATTGGTTTAGAAATTAGAATGTTGTATGAATCCAAGAAGCTATACAATTTGGTCAAAGGATAAAATGTTATGAATCTAGTAACAGGCTTTGTAACATTTGCTTACAGCAAACTTGATGACACTAGTCATTATACCACTTTAACCTTGGATTTTAAACTTCATTTTAGAATATCTATTATCCAATCAATATATTGTCATATATTTAGGTTGTTTTATTTTCACCCTCACACCTGATCAGACCTGAACAGACTTGATCTAATCAAAGTTAAGATGATTAAACTAAAATTAAACATATCAGACTCAATCAGATCAGAAAGTTTCAGTTCAATCAAATATATCCTTAAAGTATCCTATTATTTTAGTAACCAACTTACATTTTTACCATTTGTTGAGGTAGAAGTAGCTGTAATATAAATGTGGATTATTGCATAGGGCCAACTTAGGAACAATAAACAGCACACAAAGAATTAAGAGCTCGAGTTTCTTGCACATCTTTAAATTATAAATACAAAAAATCCTCATAATCGGCAACTTGCATTTAGAGAGTGTTTGCAATAGCTTGTTCTTTTAAAAAATCACTTTTTAAAAAGATTTTAAAAAAATGCTTAATCGTAAAAGTTGGTAGTGTTTGAGAAAAAATGATTTTGAAAAGTAAAAGTTTTTGTGTAAAAGTACAGTGTTTGGTAAAATATGTGCTTTTTGTGTAATAGAAAAAGTAAAAAGCAGGAGTTATCACTTGAAAACAATCTTTTTAGCTTTTTTAAGTCAAAAGTTGAAAAGCGTTTTTTAAGCGTTTGCAAACACCGCCTTAAACTATTTATAAAGGGCATTCCTTCATGTTTCGTGAGTGGTCTTTGACATTGTGTATATACACTTAAATATAAAGGGGTTTTCGCTTGTCCCAAACTAAGATGGGGTTAAGTGGGTCTCTAGCTCACATAGTTGGTCAGAGGCATATAATTTGGTACATGCGACCCAAGATTGAGTCTCGCAAACGGCAATACGCGAGTAACCTCTCAATGTTAGTAGACTCTTTGTGCGCAACGAACAATGATCTAGTCTTTGTGATCAGCTGAATCATCATGATTTACAACGCCTCATATGCTTTGTGGCGTCGGGACATGAGCTATCCCCTTGAGTTGGAGATTGAACCTTTTGGAACAAGGGGTTAAGCGGGTCTTCAGTTCCTGGCAGGGAAGCACATGCATAGGTCCCAACTTTTAAAGGCCATTTTTCTATATAAATAATAAATAAAAGTTAATGTATACTCCATTCGTCTCTAAAAGAAAGTTGCACTTTTCTTTTTCGGGATGTCTCAAAACAAAGTCATGTCTCCTTATTTGGTAAACAAATTTATATAAAACAAGTCTAAAACAGTGACAAACAGTATCAAAAGATTGTACTCAAGTGGTGATGACCTAAGAAACCATCTTTTAATAATTCCATCTATATTGATTATTATTTCATGATTTCCAATGTATCATGTATGATCAGAGAACGTCTACAAAAACCCACAAAATGCCATCACCCTTTAAAACTATCTAGGTGGAATAGCCGCAGGGATGGATTTGGGGGGGGGGGGGGGGGGGCGACCGCCCCCTTGGACATTCAATTTTTTTTACCATATATGTAATATTTTCATAAAACTTTCATAATTTAATTAGATTCGCCCCCCTTAGCTTTTAATTTTCAAAATTAATATATATAGTCTTACATAATGTAATACTTAATTGGAGATTTAAAAGAAGAAACATCTAAAATAATTTACATAACTTAAACAAATAAACAATAGAGTAACTCGTTATTTAAGATTTAGGATACTTATTATAATGTTTAATTATAAACATCTAATGTTTAATTATCTTTATTAGATAACAAGTACTGGATTTCGTAAAACATATATCAAACAATATTAAATACCAAACACACTAATTACACAATTTTTAGATCACGTGAAATGAATCCAAAATATAAATATTTATAGACATTAGATTACATAATTCATTTACTTCTTGCTTTCTAAAAATAATTTATTACATGGATAATAAACTCTGAATTATTATAGAATTAATAAAAATATTAAAATATAATATGCACCATATATATATGTGTGTGTATGTATGTGGTGCATATTATTCTAAAAATAACAATCTCATACATACTAGTATACTACTATTGTAATATTAAGAAAACTTCTCATGAGTCATGACTCACGAACACCCTTCTTGGTGGACAAAAATTACAATTCAATAACCGATTCATGAGGTTAAACAATGTAGAAGTTATTAAAAATGTATTGGTTGATGTCTTTGTCATCGTCTAAACTTAGAATGTAATAGATTTAAATGTCGTTCGGGATGTGCATGTATTAATGTCATTTTTTGAATAAAAATAGCCGCATGGCCCTACAGTAGCGAAAAAATTTCGCCCCGCTATACTAGGGAAAAAAATTCACCCCGCTACACTAACAAAAAAAAATTCACCCCCTACACTAACGAAAAATTTTGCCCCCCTTGACTCAGAATTCTGGATTCGTCCCTGAATAGCCGTGAAATATCAGGTCATATGAAGTATGAACTCTGTATTAGAAAATGAAATCATAGCTATCAAGCAATGATATGTATTAGGGGGGTGATGAAGAGTCTTTTTCCATGACAGTTGGCTCAATTGTGTCCGTTTTCGGGATCAACGTTTTATATTATATTGCATTTGAAAGATGATTCTCTAAATCTAATTCTAGGACTAGCAATTGAGGTGTGACTTTTTTATCTTAATATAACTTCTCTGGAACTTCAATAATACGCATAAGCCTAGTTAGTTAAATACGGTACGGGAATTAAATGAGGTTTAATACGTACGCGTTTTATTCGGTAACATGAATGGAAAAAACGGTCAAAAAGTCGTTGAAAAAAACGATGACTTTTAAAAAACGTGTAAATACGTATACGTGTATAATACGTTGTCTATGACAAAAATTCGGACGAAAAATACGGGTATTATTTTGAACATTTAAATGATATATTTCATAAAATAACATATATAGTAAAAAAGAAATAAAAGTATACACATATTCAAGTAGCAAATCTCATTACTACATACAAGAATAGTTCGTAATTGCATAAGTCGATGACAAAAATAAAAACAGTAATTAACTCCAAGACATAATTTTGAAAAATAATGTCAAAAAATCATTATCTTTATATGATTATCAAGTAACACTCAAGTTAAACTCATCATTTTCATTAAGATGACATATGACAAAAGTTGTGTGATTGCTACACTTATTATTGTTTGTGTAAAAGTTTATGCTAAAAACGATAGATTTAGAAAAATCTTAATTTTGATATGCTAGCTTGAAAAAAGAGATATTACCCAAAATGGGACTAAAAAAGTTTGAAAATTCCAAAATAGGACTTCCATGTTTTTATTCCCAAAATAGGACTAATTACTGTCATGTTTTGGCAGTACCAGACTTCAAACATGGCAGTATTTTTCAAATTTGGCAATAATTAGTCCTATTTTGGAAATAAAAACATGACAGTCCTATTTTGGAATTTTCGAACTTTTTTAGTCCTATTTCGGAAACTTTCCCTTGAAAAAACATCACAAATCTTGTAGTATATTACTACGTAAGTTTTAGTATTTCAGAATGCTAGCTTTAGCCATCATGCAATTAATTTTAGTATTTAATAATTGCACTGTAACAATACAAAAACACGAGATCATGGGGAGGACGTTTTCATTTTTACTTTTACACTATTGTTGATCTTCTATGCATTTAGTGCATTCATTCAATTGGTCAATTCATATTTATGTTTTTTGTAAAATACGGGAAAAATACTTTTTATACGGGAAGTAGGAGTTTTTTCCTTTTTAAACGGACCGACATCTCCCCCCTTTTTAAACGTGTTTTTTTGGTCAAAAAAACGGTACATGTTTAAAACGCGTTTAAAACGGAAAAAAGCTAACTAGGCGTATAAGCCATTTACCATTTTAAAAAAACGTCATTTTTTAGAAAACTAAATATACACAAATAAACCAAAAGCTCAACTCGTTCTGACTTTTAAGCACACACGAGGTAGTTTAGTTTTAGTTCCATTGAGGTAAACAGTGAGCATCTTCTTGATTCATCCCTCTATAGGAATCCTTCAACTCCTTTTCCAGATTGAATGTCGCGATAAATATTGAGAGCTTCATCCATGACTCCAGCCCGAGACAGCGACTCGGCTCTCTTCTTACCAGATGGATGGGTGGACAGGTAATCTTGCAAAGCCGAATCACCTGAAATTTTCCCCAGCTTCTCGTACACTTTTGGTGCAACTCGTGGGTCAAACCCAGCCGATGCCATCAAAAGAAGCCCAATGTAGTCTGCTTCCATCTCCATCCTGATGGAACACTGAATATGTTATACTATGCTTCTTATATGGAGCTGGAAATTTTAACAATGAAAATAGCATGTGATAGAGGGGGGGGGGAGCATACCTTCTTGTGAAGGGAAGGTTTAGGAAAAGAGTGGAAAAAGTGTTAACAGCGTCGGGCATAACAAACTGGTAAAGAACCAGTTGTATTATGGTAAGCCACAACCGTTTTGAAATTTCTTCAGCACTATGTCTGGCCACAGCATGTGCAACCTATTCCCAAAGTAGTGTAAAGCATCAACATCATTGTCTCAATTAAAATCATAATCGCATAGTTAGGCTTCACGTTTACTATACACACTTTGCCTTTCAAGATTGTTTTTGGGTGTTTCCAATAACATTACTAAAACATTACTCTTTGGATACATGGGCACTACAATAATTGTGAAGATAATCTCATGGTAGCTACAGTGTTATATTGAACATCATTGAGGTCACTACAGACACTAAGAAAATAGTCAAAATACTAGAATGGTAACAGCGTAAGTAATACTCATACTTTTTATTTTTTTTCAATTTTTTGTCCCAAAAAATAATACTCCGTAGTTCTAAGAGTTACCTTTAATTTGTGCAAGTAGAACTCCTACAGTACCCAAGTAAAAAAAATGTTACGTAGTATTAAGGAAAGATAACAACTTCAACATTTGCGTTTTTTAAGTACTTACAATTATAATAAAAAGCAACATTAAAAATTAATTTCAAAGTGCAGCAACATTATTGAAATTACTCAAAGTGGAATTAAAGGACATGAACGTGTTACGAACAACATTTTTCTGAAAACAAACTCAAGCAAAAAAAACAGAAAAAAAATAAGCGAAAATATAAACCATGGGAAATTGCAGAAATGCCAATTGCCAAAGGCCCAATTTCATGTTCACCAACACCCACAAAACCAAACCCTTAATAAAGGAATTGCAGAGAGTTTACTTCATTTGGATTTGTGTGTGTTTGGTTTATACGTAGTAGGATGGACAGTTAAGGCAATTTTGAAACAATACAAGAAACATGTAGGGGTATAAGTGACCATTCTTAACTTGTAAAAGCATGTATGTTTAATTGATTTGAATAGAAGTAAAAAAGATGTACATTCTTTTTTTTAAGAATGGAGAGTGTAAATTATTCTAGTAATTTATAACTCAATAAGAGGCTTAATTACTCCCAATAAACAGAGAAGCAAGTGCATATTAGCAAAATGCCAAAACAAAGTTTATTAGGATGAAATTGTACCTCATGGCCAATAATGGCAGCAATTTCAGCATCAGACTTAAAATGCTTGAGCAAACCAGTAAAGACAACAATCTTCCCGCCAGGCAAACAGAGAGCATTAACCATCGGATTATTAACCACCAAAATCTCCCAATTCAAACCCTCCAAATGTGCAGTAGCAGATTCCTTACCTTTCTTCTTACCCTCCTTCCTACTCTTCTCAATCCACTTATCATCTAGAACCTCATTATCCTCCCATTTATCACCCATTGGAGAAGTAGCCATTAATGTCTCACGATCATAGCTAGTTCTATTATTCCTCTCCACACCCTCTGATGATGTGTAGTGGATATCACCCCAAACTTGTTCCTTTCTCAAACCTCTCTGCAAAGCTCCTATTACGTCACTGGCTATCAATTGTACCCTCACGCTTTCTGGGTGGATGGAGGGGAGAATGCTGTCTTTAAAGCGTTCTTTTAACTGCTTGAATTGGTTCTCTCCTAGATTCTTCTCGAGGCTTCTGGATAAGAGCACAAAATGGGTGCGCTTCGAGTATGGTATAGTCTCTAAATTCCCAAAGTAAATGGATATCACAAACCCCGACCCGACCAAAACGGCGATGAACACATTTCTAGGGTTTTGGAACCACCGATCCGGTCCTCTGGGACGGAAATGGCGGACTTGGTACCGGTCGACGTAGTAGCATCTCCTTGACTGCACGAGAAATTGGGTTTTATAGTGATTCTGCTGAAACACAGGTTGAAAAATTGATGTGTTTCTTGGAAATTGAGAGGAGAGATGGGGTGACCGGGATCCTAATTTCGTTCTGGAGATTGATTCAAAGACGGGACTTCTGGGTGAAATCTTGGCTGCTGAAATCATAAGAGCATCCAAGCCAAGTCTTGATCTTCTATACCATCCCATTACTATAGTGAAACAAGATTCAAAGGTTGCGTTTTGGAGGATCAAAACCAGGGGAGGATCTAGCATTCCAGTTAAGTGATCAGTAGGAGCCAAAAGTTTTACATATACTCAGTATAAATTATAAAATAAATTCAATTGCAACAAAATTTAGATTTTTTAGATAAAGATTTCTCTAACTATATTTTCTAGTCTGGTTTCAGTTATAAACCGGTTCGGTTCCGGTTAAAAACCAAATAGTTCAGGTCCAATTTTGGGTTACTATTATTTACACACTTGGTTTCAGTTCGGTTTTGAACCAGTTCTGAGCATGTAGGATCGAACAGTGTGTACTGTGTACTACCAGTGCTCAGATCTCATAAGTTACACTCTAAGGGCCCGTTTGGTAGTTCACACATTAAAACTTTACCTGCAAAATGATTGCATGTAAAGTGTAGGACTGTAATTAGTTTACATGTAAACTAAAAATACATCATTTGGCATCTGTAATTAGTTTACACGCAAACTCTTTACGATGTTGTTTGGAAAATAATACGGAATATTATATGACATATAAAATATTCACAAAAAGACTACAAAATGCATTTAACAAAGCTGCTACACCGTTCAAAGTGATAAACGTGGGTGATCTTTTCCAATAATATATTATGGTATGCATAATTTATGTATTAAAAAATCGAAAGTTTCAAAAATCGAAAGTTTCAGAAACATTATATCACCTCTTCTCTCTGTTCTTTTCCAATACGTATTTGATGTATACTTCGTATAATAACAACACAAATCGAAAGTTTCAGAAATAAAAAATCACCAATTAAAAATCAATCACACATCTAACTATAGAAGGCAACAACAAATCATGGTGTGTGTAATCACAATCACAAAAAATTAGAAATCAAGCACGCCTCTAACGTTGCCGCCAAGATTTTTTGCAGTGCACTCCGATCTTCAAAGGCGGCTAGGATTGAAATTGTAATCAAATATACTCCGTATTTATTCTGCCGTATCGACTCGAGAGATGTAAACTACTTTACTTGCCTCTACCGATGTAAAATATTTCACATGGTACAGTGTAAAATGTGTTATAAAAAGTGTCCTACAGTTTACATTAAATAGTTAAAACAAATGGTGTAAAATGTTTACATCCCTACACTTTACACGCAAAGTGTTTACTTTACATCATAACAAACGAGCCCTAAGTCAAAAGTGCACCATACTCAGGAAAAAATACAGTACGAAGTAATAGTTATTTTTATTATAATTTTAAATCTCCCAACTTAATTATATGGAGAGATTTTAAATATACTTATCATTTAAAAAGTGTTGGTTTCCCTTGATCTTGCTACACGTTCATTGATATAAAGATATATCAAAGATCGTATATCTGTCAAGGTGCAAACCAGGTCTACAATGCCAATTGAAAGCAGCAGAAACTCAAAATCCAATCTAAATATAAACCTCTCCCACAGCAGCATTGTAGGGGTAGGGAATGTAAAGAAACTACTGCATACAGGGAGAAAACGTGAACTAGAAGACTCTAGAAAAAAGAACTATGATCATGTATCCAATTTAATTGTGCTTGCCCATGGCAACTAGAAGTAAAGTGATCATAATAACACAACATTATAATGGTATACAAAGATAAGTATATGAAATGTATGTAGTAATTGCTATTTATATTGTGAACTAGAAGGCTCTAGAAAGTGTATTGCTATTTATAAAAAAGAATTGAGTTATTATGATCCTAAATAATTATGTAGTAATGATGTATTCAAATCAGGCCGAAATAAGACATTCAATTATCTGTTAGTTCACTTGGAAACAGCACAAAATATACTGCTTTGGCACGCCATAATTAGAGAACAACTACTTCTACTTCAATTGTTTTAGGTCAAAAGACAGTCCATCCCTGTATTCATATCTGTCTTTCTCCTTAAAATCGTCACTCACATTTTGCAATTTCTCTGTTTTTTTACAATAAAAATTGAGTTTAGATAGAGTATGTTTAGCACTTTAGCCACAAAAAAACTACTGAAATACATCTGTTGAGTAAAGATGGCAGGTCGGCAAGAAGAACAGTTTTTAATAGCTTTCTGCGGCGGATTACCTGGCTGAGTAGTGCGGCCGGCGGCAAGGGCGCTGGCGGCGGTAGCAGCGGTGGGCGGTAGGTGGGTCGCAGCGGTGCAGCTCGCTGTCGGAAGATGCTGCGTTGGTAAATTGAAAACCGTTCGATTTAGATGGATTTACTTCATGATCGAATCACGCTTTTACTAATGTATTTAATTATTCTAGATAAGGACTAACTGGAATGCCTTTTCAGGTCGGCAAATTGCAGGAAGAAAAAAAAACTAATCCGTAATCACAATATTAAGAAGTATTAAGGAGAAAAGGCGATAACAGAACAGAGGAAAAGAGGAAATCGGACCAAATTAACAGAAAGAGACATACCCGTAGTATAATATAGTGAAACCGAATATTACGTGGAGCTGTACTGCTCCAGAGTTTGGACTTCGTATAGTTTCAGGCCTTCTACAAAAGGTGAGAGGAAAATTCAATTAGGAGCTAGAACTAGAAAGAACACGCCATCTAAACTTTGGCTATGTTTGGGAAGGAAGGGTAACCTTTTCTTATTTTCTTGTTTTCTTGATGAACAAGTAATTAGGACTGGATCAGATCGGATAGGAACTGATATCATCAAATTAAGGTCTGAAGGCTTGATCGAAATTTTCTGGTTTTGATTTGTCATTTGTCTAGACCGGTATTGGATCGGACTTCTATTTTTTTTTAGTTTTGTAACGTTTCATTTTTTAAAATAATACTAAGTAGTTTTAATTGACCAAAAAAATCTTACTCCGTATTATTACCTCATTGTTTCCATAATATTTTGTGTGATTATTCCTAATTGATTCTTTTACAAGTATGATCACTATATTATACTACGGGTATGTCTCTTTTAATCAATATTATGTATTCCCTTTGTCCGTTAATTAAAGTTCTTGTTTGTCTTCACAACTTCACAAGTATTAAAACAAGGAAATTATAAGGCAAGACTTTTCAAAAATACCATCATATGGGTAAGGTGTTACCTTATCATTTTGATGGTAAAAATTAAGTAGAGCGGCAACTAATTTTATAAAGAACATCATTTCAAGTTTCTAAACGAAGTACATAAACAGATAGTACAAATTGTCAATCGGCTACAATTTTAAACCAATTGTCAGATAATTTAGTGCTAAAACATGATCGGTGCATATGTGGCATTAGAGATAGCCAATTAAAAAATAATAAATAGACATTGGTAAGTTTTTCTTCACAATGCCAAGCACAATGTCTAGATGTAGACATTGTGTTTGAAATTGCAGATGAAAACTTACCAAAAACACATAAAATCGTGGAAAGAATGAGAGAGAAATGTCATAAATTCAATTTTTGTGTCTATCTCTCTCATGTTGCATGTGCACCGTGCACATTGTAGCATTGGAAATGCTCTAAAAAAAAAAAATCCCCGTAAACTTTCTAAACTAGGAAATTCCCTCCAATTACGCATAGAACTCGTTGATTACAAGCAAAAGATTGAATACAACAAAAAGAAACGAACCCAACTAAACTTCCGTCTTCTTCTTCACAACCTCTTTATTCTGAGCCATTTTTTATTTTAATGCTCTATCCATATGTGATCTGCAAATCATCTCCATCTCACCTCCAAACGGGTCACGAATCAGAACGTGAATAATAACCAAATACAACACAAAATCGGACAGATCCCAGGTCCAAATTGACCAGTGAAGATAGGCAACGAAAAATAAAAAGTTGTTAGGCATTGCTATCGAAGGGAAACTTCACAAGGACGTAGTTACCAACACAGCTAGAGAGATCAACATAACAATACGCACAATGTACAAGATGTGAAACCAAGCAAAAAAAAAAAGCTAAGGCATGGAGGTGAAATCATAAATGTGCAAAGAAACTAGAAAGGAAATGTTGACATAAAATGGATAAGGCTTTGACTTTAAAAACACTTTCTCAAATATCATTGCATAAAAGAAAAAATATGAGAGCTATGAACTATGTTACACAAGTGTTAAAGCCAACAATTCACATATATGGGTTTAATTAGAAAACAAATAAAAAGGCCCGCATGTGCTATTGAATCCCTTGTTGACCAAAGTCGGTATGTTGAAGAGGTTAGAATTTTGGTGATCACATCATCCCAATTCCCTACTATTCACCCCTTTTTCATGATTTTTACAATTCCCTACACATTGATGAAGCATGATTATACCCATAAAAAACAACCACGTGTGTACTCTTCCAACTAAGGAAGATCAATATAGTATAGAATAACACAATCCAAAATTTTCATTCTCAAAATCATGTTCATAATAGAATGGAGAAGATGTCTCGGATGAGAAAGTAGGTATATTTTCTTTCACATATGAAGAACCGGACTAAAGATCAACTAAAAACAGATATGATGACACTTTGGAGACTACACATATCTTAAGTGTTACAAAATGAGTGATGAAAGACATGATTTTGAATAAAGTTGTGTCAGCTATCAAAGACAAATAGTTGTATTTTTTAAGTTGGCGTGTAATAATACAACAAGATAATGAAAGACCTTATATTGAAGCAAATTGTTTTGACTTTGGGAGGTGCGGAATAGAGAATGGTTGGAACATCCAACTGAAATCCCAACCCCCAAACAGCTAGTCCATAGTTAAATGTTCTGGGCTTGGGATTCTTTAGAGCAATTGATTCAATTAAAGATAAAAAGGCTCAAAGAGCACAATGAAATTAATTGGAGCTAAGAAAACTTCTTTTCTTTCAATGATCTTACATCAAGCATATTGAACGAAGTTTCTTTGAGTTATGAGTGTGTAATTGTTAAATGTTCTGAACTTGGGATTCTTTAGAGCAATTGATTCAATTAAAGATAAAAAGGCCCAAAGAGCACTATGAAATTAATTGGAACTGACAAAACTTCTTTTCTTTCAATGATCTTACATCAAGCATAATGAACAAAGTTTCTTTGAGTTATGAGTGTGTAATGGAATCAGTAACACAAAACAACATATTTAGACAATAATTTCAAATTGCAACATATAAGAAAAACGGACTGGAAGAGCAAAGATTACTACCAAAAAATATCCAAATAAGTACATAGCTATATGATACCAATAGAGCACATATACTTGGACAACTAGCAACTAACAATGGAGGGAGTAGTGAAAGACAATCATCAATAAAATTCACAAGTGAAGAGTGGGCAATTCTTCAAAGATAGGTTGTTTTAACTGTGTGTGGGAATGTTTTTGCTTTTACAGATTTTGTGTATGTACATTTAAATGCCTAAATTACACTATTTATATACTAGCATATAGTAGGGGTACAAGTTTTTGCGAGCACAAATCTATAGGACGAAATAAGCTAGAGCCAATAGACAAAGAGGAGAAATGAAGAAATGGACGGATGAATAATGGAGGATAGGGGATAGAAAGAAAGAAATAGTGAATACGTATGGGTGGACAACCCAACACATCATGGATTCATCATTCATGGTATTATGGTCATGTAGTAGCATATTTCATTCTAAAAAAGAAGTGGAAATTTAATTAAAGCACATCAATTTAACGAAAGTAGGAGTTTAATTAAGAGGTGGAGGGAGCATATTATAATACATGACATAAGTAGAAATAAAACACATAAAATTTGCTTATGTGATTCAATTTTGACCATATCTAAAACCACATGATATTACTAATACATGAAACTAGAACGGGCAAAACAACCAAACCGAAAATTGATACATTTACTTGCTTTGTTAGGTAACAATATTCTCAAATCAAATGAATTTGTTTTAACAGAAAAACTGTAAATTGGATTGAACTATTCTTAATACTACGTAATTATTAAAATACATTATAGTTGTCTTCACTCTTCATCTTAGAGATGTAAATAAATAACCTACATGTGAAAAATGCATATTTAGCATCTATCATTTTAGCTTTTGCACATTTCATGTGTTCATTATGACAAAAGGGGTGTTTGGAAAATGACATTTCAACAACAAAAAAATGGCGATTTGACTTCTTTTAGCATTTCCAATAAGTGAAAATGATGTTTGGTAAATAGTTCTTCAACCCTAGCGTTTTTGGACAAAATCGTTGAAATGATAATGCTGGAGAGTTTTGGGTAAGCAGTTTGATATTTGGTGTTTTCTAGTGATTGTATGGCCAAACAGCTAACTTACCAAACATTTTCTTGAAACCCATCAACTTATTCCGCTAGTCAAGCTCGCTAACATAATCCGCTATATGTTATACTCAGATATACTATGCATTTGCTATATGTTATACTCAGATATGAAAAGGTGTAAAAAGATGTTTGGTGATGACAATAGAACATTACGTTTATGTGAATTTCATTTAAACTAAATTATGGTATACACTTTACATAATTCATTTGAATAATAGTATAAAATTTTTGGCATTTTTGGTAAAATTTTAAATCTCAATCAACTATAAACTTAACTTCTGTGAATTGATCTCTATTCTAGTGGTTGAAAATTCGTTGAAAAGATACTAAACTTTGTGGTGGCATCAATTCCAGTGAGACAAATTAGGAGTTAAATACATTATAAAAATTGTTATTTCCTTTTTACCTTTTATTTCCTTTCACATTTAATTTAAATAATAAATACAATGAAGTGGTAAGACTATACATCCGACCACACCTTACTCCACCGTAGGTGGGGAGCCTTTGCGGCACCGGGGTAATGATGAAGATGAAGAATAAAAACAACAAAGTAAGGCGGACTGCTATTCTAGTATCTGTTTCTAAAACATAGAACTTCTATATATAGAGTATAGATCAAATAAACCACTAAACATATGAAAAGGAATCAAGTCGAACTAAATGGAATCATATTATTTCCAAACTTGAATATGTGGAGCTACGATGGCTATAACTTGATGTGGTGCTACAATGAATAGTCAGGCAAGGCTACTTGTACTGATGGGAAAACCAGGCAAAAGACCATTTTTGTTAGCTATATAGCAAATCGTCTACTTGAGCACGTTTTTGTTGCTAAGGTTGGCCTGGGGAATGCACATCAGCGCATGTGCACTTGTATGTAATTTTTTGTCTCATTAATACATCAGCCCTTTCTTTAAAAACAATTTCTAAATGATGAAGCCAACAAAACAACAAATCATTAATTATATAAATCATGGTAAGATGGTGTACATCCGACCCCCCTTACCCCACCGTAGGTGGGAGTCTTTGCGACACTGAGGTAATGACGATGACGATAATCATGGATTGAATTTCATAAAGCATAATAAAGGTAACATTGGGACTCCTTATTTCCAACAGCTCAACAACTAGTTTCAGTTTTGATAAGAGTCTAGGATGAGTATATACGCCATCATACACTATCACACTATTAAGACTCAAACCAACTCACTCACTGTTTCTTCAATAACAGTGGTCCAACATTATCCCCCGTGGCCTTATTGTGCTTCACATGGCTTCCATCGCACAACGGGAAAGTCCCTGACCTCCAACACCTGCACCCACACACAGCCTGCTTAGCTCCTACTAGTTTATATATGATCATCATAAGATCAAACATGAACAAAATTCAAAAATAGGGCCAAGTTTGTTTTATTCCGAAAATAGAAAGCCCTAACAAAAACAAACAATAAATATTTTCTCATACCATGAACGAATGACTCCTTTTTGGG